ATACCTGATCAAACAGTGATGAACTCAAACAACAATAAAGTAGTGATTGAAAGAAGCTCAAACTCTAACACAAACGAATTCCAACTGAATGAATGAAACTCTGCAATTCGATGAAGCTTTGCAAACTCGCGATTACGAACGATATGGAAAACGATCGATTAAAGAGGGCTATGTTAGGAAGGAACGACAATGCCATATCTCTTATATATATGGAAGGGCAAGATTGTACAAATATATATATATATATATATATATGTATATATGTATTTCTTTGTCCTCCGTCAAATACGCGCTTGCTAGTTAGGGGGTTAGGAAGTAAAAAATTTTGGACTATCCTTTTCATTAAAAAAGATTCCAATAAAGGGGTTTTGGTCAAATTTTTCTTTAAAAAAATCTTGTTACTTGTAGCAATTTTACTTTGCATTCTCAAACATAACTTCCATTTTACCCTTGAAAGTTGCATATCATATGGCATATGGTACGTCAGTAAAAAAGAAAAAATCATCAAATAAGGCCTCGTTTGGCAATTGAATTTTTTAGTCAAAAAGTCAAAAAGTTACTAAATTAATCAAAAAGTCAAATTTCCATACCAAAAAGTCAAAGATTCTCTTTTCTCTCTACTTTTTGCACATCTTTTCGTAAAAAACTAAAAAGTTATCCTAAACATACTAGTTTTTTTTAGCTCATATTTTAGTCAAATAACTAAAAAGTTACTAAATTAGCCTGTTCCCAAACGAGGCCTAAGTAAATTTCAAACAGCATGACTCAAAAAGTTTTAGGGTTTAGAATTTTAGTTTTTGAATTATGGGTATTTGGGATTTGCTTATTTAGGCATCGTTTGGGAATATGTTATTTTAATAATTTTTTGATTTTTTAGCTAAAATATGAGGAAAAAAAACTAGTATGTTTGAAATGAATTTTTGATTTTTTACGAAAAGATATGCAAAAAGTAGAGAGAAAATTAAATATTTGAAATTTTGGTATAGGTTATAAGTTTTTTGGTTTTTTTAATAACTTTTTGACTTTTAGACTAAAACACTTGCATCCCAAACGAGGCCTTAGTCTCTTTTTTTTTCTTTTTTTCGTTTTTTTTGGGGAGGCGCTAATTTTTATCTTTAGTAATTTTACTTTTAAATTTTTTTAATTTAATTAGTTTTTTTTTTTTAAAAAAAAGCCTAAAAACAAGTTATGAAAAGACAAAAATAAATAAAAATTAATATATTTTTCTTGTGCTTATTTTGGATTTTTCAATTTTTTTTAAAAAAATCAATATTTTTTTTTACATTTTAAATTCGTCCACACAAGATGGACCAATAAAATGATTTTTTTAAACAGAACTTTAAAAAAAAGTCACTAAAAATAAAACAAATTGAACAAAAAAAACCCACACCGCCTCAGAATTTGATTGAATTAATCTAGACCCTTAAATATTTTATACATTTTTAACAATTTAACTGCTAAACCGATTCAAAAATACTGGATACTCCAAATTTTCTACAATAATATTTACCAAACACTGCTCCTGTTTGGTTTCAATTTTGAAAACAATTTTTGAGAGGCCAAAATTGAAAGCTCATTTGTTTGGAATTTTCTAAAATCTATTCCAGAATTTTCAGTATTCCCAGAACCATTTCAAATCAGTTCCAACTTTTTCACGATTTCAAATCTATTCTAAATTTATCTATATTACCAAGGCTATATTAATTGAACCAATATTTATGTTGAAGTATCCAAAAAGTGAAAAAAGAAGAGAAATGTAGACTAAAATACGAAAAAAGTTATTTAAGGATAACAAAACATGAAAAATAAAAAACTCAAAAACTAGTTATGAAAACTCAAAACCAAACAAGTTTTGGATTTTTAACTTTTTAAAAATTATTTTCAAAATATACAACTTAACAAATTTTCAAACTTTATAACTCTTTTCAAAAAGTTATATTTCAAAATTGATTCTGAAAACTAAATCAAATGAACCCTATAGTTGGCCAACACGGTTCCTTAGAGCAACTCCAATGGTGAATTGGTAAAATGAATAGTTAAAGCTATAATTTAGCAATGAAAAGTGCAAAAAAGTTATAAAATAGCAATATTGCTTCAACAGTGAAATTGTTATTTTTTAACTTAACCAACACTAGACCAACATGAACCGAACGACCGGCAAGCTTGCAAAATTATGTTGATGAGTTCTTTAGTTATTAGTAAAACTTATACCAAATTTCATACAAGATATAACAATTGCTATTTTTAGCAGCTCCAATGACAGCTCATTGGAGTATCATATTTTTCTATATTGCTATATTATAGCAATAATAGCTCACCATTCAAGTTGCTCTTACCACTTATTTAGGATTAGTTACATCTTTGTAGTTTTGTTTGGAAAATGTACACATAATTTTTATCTCTGTCACGGCTCTCATCGTATCTCTTTAATCCTTAAAAACAAACACCACACTACTCATCACTCTTTGCATCACTTGATCTTCTCCCACCATGACACCCCTTTCACCACTTTTACAACCATCATCGTATCTCTTTAAAAACGAACACCATCACACATCACCCATCACCCACCACCCTTTGCACCACCTGTGCTTCTCGCACGATCATACCCCTCTCACCACTTTTACAGCCATCAATCACCACCCTCTCAACCTGTGCATTTCAACAACCTCCCTTTTTTTCATCATTACAACACCGAATACTTTCTCTTACGCTGTGTTTGATTGGGAGATTTTGGGAGGGATTTTGAAAGGGAAAGGAAAAAGGTGTGTGAAACTATGTGAAATGTAAGCATGTTTTTTTCACATTTCACCTGCCTTTTCCATTTCTCTTTTCAAATCTCTCCTCAAATCCCTCAACCAAACACAAGTATTAATTTAACAACCACCATGACACCCTCACACATAGGGACGAAATTAGGAGAAAACTATGAGAGTCATGACTCCTTGTTTCTTTGAACATTATTGTTTGTCATAAAACTTTAATTATATATAATTTTATACATAAAATCACTCCCCCAGTATAAAAAATATACATATCATTATTCTCTTATCTTGAGTTCTCTTTCTATTTTACGTTAAAACACTTATTCATTATATTTGAAATTATTTCTATAATATTTAATTTTTTAATATATATATAATTTATATATCACATATACATACATGTGTATTTTGTGTATATGGTAAAAAAAATTATTTTTTTAACTCCTTTAATAATGAAATCATAATTCCACCTCTGCTCACACCCAAGAACTAGCTACCAACACTTATCTCCTCTTCCCTCATCTCTTTGCCAATAATTATTGGATGCTTGTAATGCTCGATATTAGTTATTATCAACTAAAAGTAATTTTTATTTTATAATTTTAAGAAGAAATAATGTATAAAATATTAATGAATATTTCAAGACTAACTAGTTTCTCAAGCTTCCACACACTCCCAATGCAGAAGCCAGCATGATGTTTGACCTATGTCCCTAAGGCAAACATGGTCAATGCCATAACTCTCCTAGAAATATTTTTTATTTAACAATTGAAAAAAAATGGCACTTTACACCATTCTCAACAAAGAAGACAACTTGTGCTCATGTTTGTGCGTGGGTAAGGGAAAAATATTGAATGGTTTGGGACATTAGGCAACACTAATTAGTAATTGTCAGGTTCATGTTTCCGCCACCTAAAATAATATAAAAAATTGTGGAAGCTGAAAAGAGATACACCTGAAACGATAAACAAAGTATATTTAAGCCCATTTAAGATTGGTCAGCTGAAGTCAAAGCAGGACTGAAAGTCATTGTCAAATAGACATGAAAGACAATGATGAGAACGCTAAGTTAAGGGTACTTGTGCCGTACGTCAGAACTAATTATATTAGGTAAGTCGGGATGGTCCCATTAAGTGGAACCAGATTGTCCCTTTCTAAAAAGTATAGTAGGGAGATGTGTTCTGACAGAATGATAATGGTTAAGCTACATGGAGAAAATGTCAAGGAAAATGACTATAAAAATAAGAGGGAGGTTTGAGGAGTAGGTATGTGCAGAAAACTTGTACATTACGAAATCAAAAATACTAATATTTATAGAGAAGCTAACTTGCTTGTCGGAGTACTAATTCAGGTACCACTAATTGGAGTTTTATTTCTGTTTCGGGTGATAGTTAAGAAAATCTTACAAGGGCTTGTTTAGATTGAAAAAGTATTCTAAAACCATATTCTCACAAAAATAATAATTTATTAGTATATTAATTAATAACATTCAAATAAAATAACAAATATTACTTTTCTTTGATAAGAGAGAGACACACAAACAGCACAAGAATGTTCCTCTCAAGCAAAACACCTGTTCCTCCATAAAAACATCAGTTTTTGTTTGTTTGTTTGTTTTCTTTTTTTTTAAAATTCTTTTTATAAATTTTTTGAAAATAATTCTTTTCAATTTATCATCACTGACAAAAAGATAGATCTCAAATACGGGATAGATTGAACCATCCATCCATAACACCAAACCATTCTCACCATTCCACAATTTAGAAGTTATTTCATAGTTTTGGTGGTGCTCTAATTTCTTTTGGACTCTCACATTTTCATTATTATTATTTTAATATTCTTATTATAAAATTTCATTATTTTCATACTAGTACACAAAATAATTTATTTGATATCTCTAATTTAATACCATCGAGCTAGTAATCTGATCATTTAATTCTATTATACTCATAATTTTATCAAACCTAAATTTGTTAACAAACATGACCATATATAGACTATAAATTACATATATACACCATCAAATATATATATATATATATAAAACTCCCCAATAGGGATAATATATAAGAAATAAATGTCCTTAGATATGTTGTCTATAATTATAATATCATGTGATATTATTGGGAATACTGAAATTTGATCAATCTCATTACATAAATGAAATGAAATCTTCATTTGAATTTATAGAGAAATGCTATGCTCATGATTAAAGTCATTAATAAACACAAATAATAACTTATTAACTAATAAATGAGGAGAAGATGAGCAATCACATTTTGCTAAATAAATGTCAAATTTAAATTAAAAAGACCAGTTTAACCAGTAACGGCTGCTAACATAAAATTAACTCCCAAAAAACAAACTAAAATGAAAATTTAAATTTTTTTAAAAAAAACCTGGTGCAAAATTACGATCTAGGACAAGAGAGAGACAATAACTGAAGCTAACACTGAGAGAGCATTGAACAATGCCGGAGCTTTCACGTAGGCGACATTTCCCGACGTACTGTTCTGGGCCTGGTTCGGTCCCTCCGCCGGAGATCCTGCCGGAGTTTCCGTAGGCGGAGCCGGAGGAGAGTACACTGGCGGCGGAGCTTCAGCAGATTTCGGAGCCGGAACCACCGGTGACGGTGCAGGTGCAGTCGACGGAGATGGAGAAGTCACAGGCTTCGGCGCAGGTGCCGGCGACGAAGCATTGCCGAACAGCTCGATCGGAATGAGAACATGATCGACGGTGAAAATGCAGAGAGGAGTCGAATCAATCAGAGTGCTCGAGATTCGCGACGAGTCTCGACCGGCCTTCAGAGTGACCTCATCGCCGGCTAGATTAACCGTCAAATCGAACTTTCCGGCGGAGTTCGTAGCCAACGTAGCCATCGGATCCTTGATCGTCTTCAACGTCCCAATCGGATCGTAACTAGCTAGGGCATGATAGCGTAAGAGCGCGATCACCTCAGCATTCGTGAGCTTGCTCAGATCTGGCAAATTCGCAGCCTTAAACGCTTCATCAGACGGTGCAAAAATCGTCAGTCCAGTATTCACAACCTTCCGATACACATTCAACACACCAGTCTCCACAATCAACGACGCAAAAGTTATACACCCAGCCTTCACAATCACATCAGTGATATTCACATCGGAAGCCGATCCAGCCGGCGAATTCAAAACCCCCGGCGCAATGATCGGCTCGCTGATCTCCAAAACCGCAATACTATACGGTACTTTCTTCACCTCTTTAGTGTAAGTCGAGTCGAGAGCCGATCCCGGAGCCGCCGATCGGAATCCGACCTTGCCGCCTTGTAAGTCGGTGATGTTGACGAAGCCGACTCCGTTTTCAGCTTCGCCGGTGGTCTGGTAGAGAGTGGTGACGGTGGTGGTGGCGGTGGCGAGGTCGTGGAGCTTGGCAGCGTCGAAGTAGTCGAGGAGGATGTGGATGCTGAGTTCGGCTTTGACGATTGAGAGGGGGTGTTTGGATGCGAGGATAGACATGGACGTTTCGTTGAGAACCAGGACTGTGATGGTCTCGCGACTGTTGATTTCGTCACAGAGCCTTGTTTGGGTGAGGTAGCTGTTGAAGAGAGTGTAGTCTGGGAAGGAAGAGAGGATCTCTGTGATGTTGTGAGCTTTCATGGTGGGAATGGTGATGATGAGAGAGAGTGTGAGGATGAGGAAGATAAAGTGTCTTGCGCCCATGGTGTATGCTAGTGCCATGCAGAAACTGAAACAACAACAACGAGAGAGAGAGAGAGAGAGAGGATTAGGGAGATTATGAGAGGTGGTAGGAGAATTAGTAGGGGTTTTGGGATTTAACTTGGGTTTAGGAGGTTGGTAACTATGGTTAATGGTGGGTGATTGACCTGTGGTGGAGTGGGTGAGTGACATGTGTAAGTATTAAAAAAAAAAAATTTGAAACATTTGATAGAAATTTTAATATAATTTTTAGAGTTTTTGACAAAATTTATGTCCAATTTAGTTAACTTAAAAATTACTACAAAAAATATATGGTGTTTTGTAATAAAATAAAATTTAAGTTTTTAGCTAATTTGAATTTTCAGCTAAAAATATTTGAAATAAACTAAAAAACAATTCAAAGATTAGTATGGTGAAAAAAATAAAGAACTTAAACACGGACTTGTTTAGTTTGTATTTGAGAAACATATTTTGAGATAAAAAGTATGAAAATTTGTTTGGTTTAGTTTTTTTTCAAAAGATATTTTGAAAAATTATTTTGAGAGAGAGTTTTGAAAAAAGTGATTGATTTGATATGTATGAGAGAGAAATTTGTTTGAAAAATTTGTAAACCAAACAAGTTTTGGAAAAAAAAATTGAAAAAATTTATTTGGTTTGATTACTATTGAAAACTTATTTGTAAAAAATTTTTCTCAAATTTTTTTGAGAAACACAAACCAAACAAGCTAAATTACTACAAAAAATATATGGTGTTTTGTAATAAAATAAAATTTAAGTTTTTAGCTAATTTGAATTTTCAGCTAAAAATATTTGAAATAAACTAAAAAACAATTCAAAGATTAGTTTGGTGAAAAAAATAAAGAAGTTAAACATGGACTTGTTTGGTTTGTATTTGAGAAACATGTTTTGAGATAAAAAGTACGAAAATTTGTTAGTTTTGTTTTTTTCAAAAGATGTTTTGAAAAATTGTTTTGAAAGAGAGTTTTGAAAAAAGTAATTGATTTGATATGTATGAGAGAGAAATTTGTTTGGAAAATTTGCAAACTAAACAAGTTTTGGAAAAAAAATTTGGAAAAATTTGTTTGGTTTGATTACTTTTGAAAACTTATTTGTAAAGAATTTTTCTCAAAATTTTTTGAGAAACACAAACCAAACAAGCTAAATTACTACAAAAAATATATGGTGTTTTGTAATAAAAAAAAAATTAAGTTTTTAGCTAATTTGAATTTTCAGCTAAAAATATTTGAAATAAACTAAAAAACAATTCAAAGATTAGTTTGGTGAAAAAAATAAAGAACTTAAACACATTATTTCCATATAATTTGCTCATTTTTAGGGGAAAAAAAGTATTTTTTAACAAATTTAAAATTTATTTTTACTGTTTATTTTTTGTCAAAATATGTTTTAAGATTTCAATCAAATAAATTTTCTTTTTAAAAAATATAAGTTGAAGATGCTTTTTCTAAACTGTAAATAATTTTTTAAAAATAATTTTCACGACTGTCAAATTTATTTTGAGCTATTTAGATATATTTTAATATAGTAGAAATAGATTCAATAAATACAGTTGCACATTAATTAATTTGTGATTTTTTTTTAAATTACAATCATTTGTATTTGTAATTTTTTGTTTTTTGGTCACAACAAATAGGGCTACGCTTGGCTTCAATTCATTTTATGGATTGGACAGTACTGTTAGACCTATAAGACTCATTATAAGTTCTGTTTCAATAATTCGAACTGTGTCTAGAACTCGTTAAGTACTTTATCTTTGTAAAAAATCATGTTGATCAAATATCGATAGTTACTTGATCGGATCAGATTTTTGTCAACAATTTATTTTTAAAATTATATTTACTGTTGACAGAAATCTGATTCGATCAAGTAACTATTGATATCCGATCAAGTGATTTTTTTACAAGAATAAAGGATAAAGTACTTAAAAAATTATACACATTGAACAATTCAAATTATCAAAATAAAATTTATGATAAACCCTCACAAACCTAACAACATATACTAATCCAATCTCCCACTAAAGAGGAACGAGGTCCCAACTAACAGTACATAGTGTTATTAAGAATATGCAATTAACAGCCACTTTACAGCTCAAAAATATTTGTACCTTAGGAAGAAATCGTTGTACTTAAATGTAAACATAGATGTTAACAATAATTTAATTGTGATCCGTTGTGGTATTATATATATCAATTAGGTCATATTTATTTGGGCGGACTGGATTAACATTCCTATGATTAATAGTTCTAGGATTACGAATCCGTTGGATTATGTATCCTATCTTAACTAATAGTTAAGTTTAAAATAATTAGTCCGTACTTCAATTGTTTAACCAAATATCGAATTAATAATTTTATTGAACTATTAGTCCAATCCCAAACTCATATCCACCCAAACAAACATGACCTTAGTGTATTAACTAATGTACTAACAATAGTTATGATATTATTATTGACCTTACTTATTAATCACATTACAAATATTAAAAATTTCTTAAATTATATCATATTATCAATTAAGATACTAATAATTACATATAACACTATTCTATAAAAAGACTGAGTGATTCGAGAGACTATCACGTGTAGGTGATGATGTTGATGGGTTTGTAACGGTTAAAACTATAATTGGCAGTATTTTTGGCGTGGGTTCAGTCAATGAATGATTTCGCGCGTTTCTTTCATTATTTTCTTATTTTTTCCTTGATAATTTTTTTAACGGAAATGCTACAGACCCCCACCATTTTGGCACCCCCAGCACCCCCAGTGCCACATGGGGGGCTGCCAATGGCCAAACACAAAGAAAAAAAAAAAAAAAAAAAAAAAAAAAAAACAGTTTTTTCAACCAATCACAATGGACCCCCAGCACCCCCACTGGGGGTCCCAAGCTTTATTCTTTTTTTAATAAAAGTAAAACAATAGATGTCAGTTTTTTTTTTTAATTATTTTATTATTGTCCGTGATACAGTTATATATAACATTATCTTTTCATTTTTTTTTTAAATCAATCATAAATATTATGTGAAATATTTTTTAGAGAGGTTTTTTTATAAAAGGAGCAGCTTGCCTCCGGTCCGAAACTGGACTGGACGACACTGTTCGGCCCGAGAAAGCTCACCACGGGTCCTGTTTTGAGAATCTGAACCATTCAATGTGTAGAACTCATTGAGTATTATATATCTGTATAAAATCACGTTGATCGGATATCGATAGCTATGTGATCAAACCAGTTTTGTATTAAAAAAATAGACGATTGACAAAAAACTGATCTGATGACATAGCTATCTGTACGGGGAGCAAATATTCAGGCGAGTCTGTATTCCTTTCTTCCAAGCTCCGTTTTTGTCCGATCACCTGAAAGCACAATGTGGGTGAGCTACCCGGCGGTGTGTGGTCGGAAAATCCCTCCGACGGTCAAGTTAGAACACACACTAGGGGATAGATAGAGAGAAGGGAGAGTGTTGAGTGTTTAGTGTATGTCTCACCAAATGTTCATCTGTCGCGTATGGGGGGCGCAGACATGCTTATATACCCTCTGCGCCTCATATCTACTCCCAGTCATCCCCTGACACGTGGCTCCGCTATCCCATCTGTCAGCATAAACCTTGCTGAACATCACATAATCTCAACTGCCTGCCTTCACAGCTGGAGCTCGGCAACCGAGCTGCTCTATCTGTTGCCGTGCCGTGCCGTGCTTCATACCCAAGCACTTCACTGGCTAAGTCCAAGAAGGACCGGGCTAGGCGACATCTCGGCAAAGCCTAGCCCGAGGCACCTCCTGTGGCCGGCCTTTCTGCCAGTCAAACAGTTACCTCGGCTGACCACGCCTTTCCGGGCGCCGGTCACTCAGCTTGTCTTGCTTCGTCCATCGCCTGATCGAGCAGCTCGGTCCAACTGAGCAGCTTCTTTACGGTCTGGGGCGACACACACTCGGCCCAAGTTCTGCCCGGCCCAAGTTCTGGCAGCCCATCTATTGGCGGACAGTCAATCATCTCGGCCCCATGCACCGTTGGGCTCTCAACCTGCTCGGCCATTACCACGGCCCAACTCCAGATCATAAATCACCCTCTCAATTGCCCCTTAATTCCGTCCGCGAAAGCATGACTGGGATTACTTACTTCGACCGAGATAACATTCCTCCGGTCTCCAAGATGAGAAAGGGCGACCGGGCTAGTTAACATAACTGTCTGCAAACTTGACCGGTTGTACGCCACGGCTGACGTCCTCTTCTTCAGAAGTAGCTCGGTTGGCTCTTCGACTCTTCAACCCGTCGCTTCAGTCCTGGCGTTCCATAAATGGGGACACGTGGCGGGCTGCCATTGGTCATCGAGCAGCCAACCCGCTGTTTTTGCCAGAATTTGAATTTGGGCGGCCTCTCGTGCTTACATATACAAGACCCCCCTTATGCCATTTCTTCCTACTGTCTCTTTTCTACCTGACGATTCAGAGCTCAAGCCATTTCCTCTCATACTCGACTGCCATTCTTCGTGCTTGGAAGAACAGCTCCAGCCCTTCACAGGTAAGATCTTCAATCCCTCTTGAGTTGTTATTTTCTTTCATATTACACACATTAGGGCACAAAAACGTAGCTCTTAGGGCATAGGCCATAGAATCCATCCCAAACCTCCCACTGTTCTTGGTGTTCTTCATCTCCATGAAGAACACTGAAGAACTGGGGCGAACCGGGCTCCTGGTCTTCTTTTGATCCAAAAAAAACATTCTAACCGAGCAAATAACGTGTTTGTCTCAACCCCGGCAAAAACCGAGATAACAAAAGGAAATGGTCGCTCAACCGGGCTAATATCTGGCCTGCCTGGGCGACCGAGCTCTTTAGTTAGCTTAGGAGACCGAGGTGGTTTGGCACCCTTAACGACCGAGCTAAAGACTAGCTCCTTCCGCGCGATCGCGCTCACACTTACACTTGCCCTCCTTTTCCTGCAGAGTCCAAGGGGACCACTGTCCAT